ACTTGTTCGTTTAAAATTTTGTCCGACTAAAAGACGGTTTTGAGACGATTTGTTCGTCTAGACGGACTTCTAATGTGAAAACGGCTAATGAATGGAGGTTCAATCTGAGCTTCTCTCGAGTGTCAATGCTGTTTTTGAATAGCTGGAGGGTTAGTGTCATACCTTACTATGTGACTACTCACCCTCAAGCTATTCAAAAACAGCATTGACACTCAAGAGAAGCTCAGATTGAACATCCACTCATTGAGTGTGAGTGAGCTTTTAGAATACGGGGGGGGGGGGGTGGAATAGGTTTTCGGATCGTCGGATTTCACAGAAAAAATTGTTCGGATTTCGGATCTGGCGAATATTTTACACGGATTTTCGGATCTTATTAATTTAATACAGCGGATTGTGGATTTATCTAATATTTTGGCTCGGATTGTGGATTTAGCTTGCAATTTAGATTGTGACTTCATAGTAGAGCTTTTAGCGGATTCAAATTTAGACAAGACCCATTGTCGGATCGCGGATTTTGCTTCAAATTTGGGCGGATTTGTAACCCCTATTCACCCATAAGTGAATACGGGCGTAAGTCTTATGCAAAGGCATATTCGATATATTATAAACAAATGTTAGCTCTTTCTTTGACCGTCTCAAGGTATTTGTTCAATATCAGATCTATTATAATCCTTTGGTGTTCCGGCCTCGTCGTGTTGTACAAATCCACCCTGATCAGCAGCAGGTCCAGCAGTAGAGCGGTACTCCATGAAATAGAATACCGTATCAGCAAGAAACAGAGCCAATGCCATGAAAGCAAATACCTGGCATGGAAACACAGTAATAAGTGATCAAGATAGACACAGTCTCAGTATCAGAGGGTTTGGATGTCGTGGAAAATGTTGTCTGCAGGCATAAAGTGTTTAAATCTTGCATGTTAATCTCAGAAAATCAACAAAATGTTGCAGAATCATAAGCCGACCTTGTCCCTTCTTTGTATACTGGATGATTAGTCAGGAATGCAAAAAAGTCATGCAAATTTCTTTCTCCTCCCCTCCCAATTTGCTGTTGGAATATTTACTATCCAAATGAGAGATACTAGATTTAGTAGATAACAGATTTCAAGTTACTAGACAATATTTCAACCCATTTCAAGGTCAACTTTTGGCTGTAACATGAATGGTTGGGAAATATCACCTAAGTAACTACATCACTGGAGAACGCTTAACATATACATACCGTAGCAGCTTCAACATTACTACAGGGAGAGCCTGAATCACTATAATAATCACAGGTATCTTCAAACTCATAACGTTCATGTCCCACTTCATATTTCCTAACACCACGTCGAAACTGACGAGCTTTATCTGCGACTAATGAGGTTGATATTAGCAGGAGGAATACGTACACAGCCGAATATATCAACATCTGGAAAGAGATGCACGAAACATTTGAGCAGGATGTTAATGAACTAACTAACTAGCATATTGAATGCCAGCACTCTCTCCCCTTGATGAGTAAAATGATCTGATGTTAGACAAAGTAATGTAATAAAGTAGGGAGCATTTGGGTGCAATACAACTGAATGGGTTTGCACATGGACAGATAGTCTGTTTAACCCTTTCAGTGTCATCGCTCTCCCCTTGATGAGTAAAAATAGTCTGGTGTTTGATGCCTAACATCTCTTTATACTTTCATCCTTGGCCAGTAAACGAATACATCCAGCCAGTTAGCGAGTGGCTTACCCCAACCCACCCTACCCAGAAAAAACCCAATGGCACTTTTCGCATAAGTGTTGTGAGTCTGCAGCGAGAATCGACCCTACAATATCAGGTGTGAAAGATATGGTTGCTGCGATGAGTGCACCACAATTTCAAACCAAATTTGTATTATTTGTTACATAACTGCAAGTGTCCAGTTCATTGATATTCTGTCATGGGCACCAGATGAGAATAAAACAAACAAGAGCATTGTGATCAGCCATGCTGTTATCGCGACAAATAGGAAAAACTTAAAAGATCCGTTGTTTTCAGACTTGTCAGCAAAATCTGCCAAACATGAGAATGCAATCAGGAGACAAAACTAGAAAAAGGAAGAACTCTATCATTATGTGAAGACTTGAAGTGTAGTAAGTGTTACACAATACAATACAATACAATACAACTTTATTTGAATAATACATAAATATAGATAAAGGTTGGCATTAAAACAGGCATTAACCCTTTGAGCCGCAATGCGCCCCAGTTGGCCCCACTTTTTTTTACTTGTCTAGCGCCAGGCAATTTTACTCGTCAATGGGGAAGCCTCGCAGCTGAATGGGTTAAAGACAAGTTAGGGCCACATGTACAATCCATGCAGTGCGATGGTTATAGTGATGTGCCTATGATTTTGGCATGACTGCTGCAATGCTGTTGCCATGCCCCTAGCCAGTGGGCGTACGAGAGGCACTCACCCCCCTGAAAATATTCAAAATGGCAAATGTCCAGGGTGAACACCTCTCGTAACTGCACTGGCTAGGACCATGGTGAGTGTATTGTCTGTATTGTCTCTATTCTATGGTGTGGCCTACTAAGGTACGTTTACATGCTGCAATTTTAGGTTATGCTACATGTTAATTCCAATATAAATACAATAAATACCAACAATACATTGTACTGTACTGTCTGTACACTTACAAACTCTCCTATTTTAAATAAACCAGCCCAACTTTTAACATAATCTGAACCAGAGGTATGAGGCATCGCTCCTGATTTCGATTATACTGCAATGAAAAGTGAAATTTCTAGCAATGACACTACAGCAGCAACTCCATTGTGGAAAAGTTGTAAATGACCCTTGGCTGCATCAGGTAAAATGCTGAGATTATGATGCTATAATTCTGTCAAATCATGTGACAATTCAGTAAGGTATATATATATGTAAGAGCCTAAAGTGTTATTAGCTAATTATCTGTATTTCTTAAGGGGAAGATTGGTTCAATTTAAATGCACTATCATAGTCTGGGCACAAGAAAAAATATTCAGACGAGGTAGCTAGGGTTATATTAGCACAATCTTATTCATATGTTAAACAATCATCATTCAAGAAAAACTATGTGTAGAGATCGTCTTGATGGACGATCACAGTAGCCGCATATATATATATATATATATATATATAGATATTAAGCTCTCTGACAAACTATATGTTTTTCCCTATGTTCATTTCTGACGTATCATTCTGATGTTTGACAAAAAAGATCCATCTGTATAGTACAGAATAAGCCATTTTAAAGGAATACCGAATGGTTTTCCTTGCAGGATTGTGTGATCCATGCACAAGGGATGTTGCAAGACTAGAGATACTCGAGCCGAGTGTATTTTTACGCTTTCCGAAAGTCGAGCAACATCCCAAGTGAATGGATCAAGCTATCCTGCTTGGAAAACCATTTGGTAATTAATTGTTTTATAAAATACAAAGTGACTATATGACCGGCAGCCGGTCACGGTTTATCAAATTCTAAATGGCCGGCAGTCTAGTGACTATTGTTAAAGTTGAATTTTTATAAGATAAACCAATCCCCAACCCCTTTTCTAACCCTAACCCCTAACCTTTTGAGAGTTAGAAAAGCCGGAAAAAAAGTTTAAAAAATTATAAGAAAAAACAATGCTAAGTCAGACAAAACACATCCCGACCCCGACTGCGTTTAACTTTCGGCACACAGCGCCCTTGCCGTATGAGCTAATGGCAAGCTTGGTAAAAGTTAACGCAAACAGAAGTCTTTATATTCAACTATAGTCACTAGACTGCCGGCCATTTAGTATTTGGATAAACCGTGACCGGCTGCCGGTCATATAGTCACTTTGTATAAAATAACTACAGTGAAACAATGACATTTTTGAGAATCCCGTGAAAATCCCATGAAGGCATTTTAATCCTCATGCAGGATAGCCTGATTCTGCACGGCTATTGACCAATGTAGTTATTATATAAAAATTGTTGCTGCAGTCTTGCAATCTGACCCAAATTATTTATAATTGATAAGGAATCATACATTCTCATACCAATCACAACAGTCTACAAAGATTTTATTTAATAAATTCTAGGTCTTCTGCAGTTCAATCCAATTATGTATTATTAACTACAGTCTATCTGAACATATTCTATACTTTTTTTCAACTTTATAGGTCTTTATACATTAAAACTATAATACATTACGTCATATAAACATGCACAACTGGATGACAAAGACTCAGAAATATACAATTATTTTGAATTTTAAATTAAAACATACCGACGAATATAAGTATATCTCGAGTACTGGCTTGACAAGAATAGATATTGGGAACTAACAAAAACTTATATTGCTTTCCAATGCAGAAAATAAATAAAAATTCAACTGAAACAGTCAACTTTTACCAGAATATTGAAATATTTTCTGAAATGCCAATATGACTTCTTTTTACTATCCTATTTTACCCAAGTTATCCAAAATTACTCCTCGATTTCAAGGTTCAGTTATCCATCTTAATCCATTTTATTCAATCTGTGTATTCTGTTTCAAGATCCAGTTCACCCTAAATATCAATATCTATCCACTAATTTCTTTATCGCAAATTCTCGACCAATCAAAAGTTCGCAATTTGAAAGCAGGGAAAAAATATTTCAAATATGGCGGCAAAAAGAGGAGTTAGAAAATCTTAGAAAACTTTTATATTGTATAATGAGCAGCCTAAACAGCGATAGAGGTAAGCTTTTGTGATGTAGTTTTTGTACCTATGAACTAAACGAACTGCTTTGCACTTGATAGCACTATCAGTTCTATATTATAGTGTGAGTCTGTGTTATAGTGTCAGTCTGACAGCCTGTGATGTATGAGTGTGTGACTCAGCTCGGTGACTGTATTAAGGCCCGTTTACACTTGCAATTTTTGCTGCGATTTCTAGTGCGATTTTCTTCTGCTGATGTATGTGAACGAGTAGATGAGTTGTGAATATATGTCTCACTGATGTACCCAGATCTCAACATTCATAACTCATCCTTTTGTGGGTTTTTTTTGTATTTCTTTTTAATGCATGTTTTCGCCCAAAATATTACATTTACAAAGACTAGATATATATAAGAAATGGGCTAGGAGTCTACTAGAAACCACATGGCTTTTTTTTAGGCCCCTAGATTAATTATTTAAGCTATATCAATAAATATAAGCTCGTGTCGGTTTGAGTGTTTTTCAGAGAATTAGTAGAATTGTTCACATCCATCAGACGAAGAAAATATCACAGCAGAAATTGCAAGTGTAAGTGGGCCTTTACTGTAATAATCGCACAACACTGTAAATCTGTAATATGTATTTACAGATTTCTGTCTGGAAAGTTAACTTTTTGCATGCTGGACATCAATTCAGGCACATGTGATTGTACGCCAATTTTGGAAATATAAATGTGCAAAAGTTCCAAATACACCTTTTCATCGTAAACCTATTTGGTCCAAATTTGTGAACTCTGAACAATTACTAGTCTATGTAAACAAATGTATGCCATATGTATATCACGAGTGTGTGTACACCGGACAAGTCCAGTGTACACACTTTACACTGACAGATTACTTCACGACCATTTCAAAATTAGCATTTATGTGTCTTAAATTTCTTTTATGTTTGTAAATTTAGGAATTGAGCTACCTATCCTTGTGAGTGACTCAGATTTAGAAAAATATCCTGAGTTTAAAAAATTGTTGAAAACATTGACAAGATATGTTGCAGATGACGGCACAACAAAGGAAATAAAAAAGGATTATACTGAAGTATGAAATGCGAAAAAGGAACATTTTAAGCTTTTAGTATAAATATTAAATTTATTACGACTTTTATATATTTGGTCAAAAAACTCAATTCCAGAAAACTCCATACATGTACCTCCCCCCACGGATGAAATGGAAGTTAACTTACTATTATCTGAAACAATTTTTCTCCCCTCCTCCCCGATGGCAGAAATTTCATCTTTGGGGGCACGGTGGATCATTTCTGGAACAATCCAATGAAAACAAAATGAGTATGACCAATTTGTGATTATTTGTGCATCATTCTACATGTCAAATCTTCCTGAGAAGTGTAAGAAAATGTCATTTCTAAGACTCTTAGAATTCAAAATTTTGAATGCATTCATGCCCCTGGACCCACCCAAAGTTTCTTTAGCCCCCTCCACCTCCCCACCTATGTTTAGCACCTGTTGACCTGCAGTTGCTTGCTTTATCCACCCAGTGATAAACATGTAGCCACTATTTTTGCATTACGATCTTTATTACTGTGTACATATTACAACATGCATGTTCAGAATATACCTCAGTCTGTGAATCAATCTGAATATTGACTATTGTAAAGGTGAATGATGCTTTGAGGCAGGAAAAACTACAATATCTTCAGGCTAAAGTTGTTTATGAAGAATTGAAGGACATTCTGTTAGATTATGAGATCAGTAGACTTGATCATGAAGTAGATGGTCCCTCTGCACAGGTAAAACTAGGAAGTTGTTGAACTTTATGCAAGACTTAATTTTTTTTACTTGTCATGAATAAACTGGGCTATGCTCTCAATTTCCCTGTGACTTCGCGCTAGATAGATAGTACTTACCAATGAGAACTTTTGCGTAAACTATGTTACTTTGTTTTAAAACATTCTTGTTGGCCTTATTAAGACATACCAGGCAATGAAAGAAGCATTAACATCAGCCGAGGCTGTAGATTACTTGGACTTCAATCCTGAAGTTGGTGGTTTGGATGTGACGCTACTTGGTTTGAAAGCTGACCAGCTGCATAAAAATGATGCCCACAAAATGGTAGGAATCCTGGTTTAGCAATAATAGTGATCAAATTGACAAGTACTGTGGTTAAATTAACCAGGACATTAAGTTACACCAAACGATGACGTAATATTATAATTATCCTGACCACTTGTTATGTTCCTTATTGAACTTTGACAGTTTTAAATAAGTGTATCATTTATCTAAACCTATCACTGATGGACAGGTAATTGACATTCTGCGCAAGTTCGAAATGATATTTATTTTTTCGACTGTCTTTAGTAGCAAGGAATATCCATTATCTTTCCTTTGACTTGCATAATTTTCTCTTTGCCTGAGGAACTAACATTTAATTTTTAAATACTAGTTCCGTTACTGGGATTAACATGAATACAAGTTCTACCACAGTGGTTGCATGTAGTGTTTTCCAATTTACCTGTAGGTGTTTCAGCAAGGCCTTATTCCGGAATTGGAAAATCGTCTAAAGTCAAAATGTGAACAAGTTGCTCAATACCACCAAACTGCGAAATCAAAAGGTATTTGATGGTTATTGTAT